TCTAGTCGCGACTGGAGGAACTCCAGGACAGCTACTAGATCCGCGAAAATGGATCTGGAACACCCCTATCAACACACCATCGCGCATAGCAGGCCATTCTATCCTCATACTGAACGTTTGTCGAATCCCTCCGCGAAGCCAGTATTGTGTCTGCAACTCGTGCAGAAATACTGCTCTTCTGGAGGCGATTCCTGACAGTGGCCAAGCCACCCACTGAATCCTGGGATTCGGGTGGAGGTCCGGTCGTAAAGGTAATAGAACAGGAGGCTGAGCCAGAAACCTGAGAATTACGGGAAACCAACTCTGCGCCGACCAAAGAGGTGCAAGTAGCACAAGTAGCCGCGCAGGCTGAGTGGCTAGCTGAGACAGGACCCTGGAAACCAGAGGAATTGGTGGGAAGGCCCACAGAACTCTGTCCGTCCAATCTAGCTGGAAGGCGTCCGGTGCCACCGACCTCGGGTCGGGGACTCGGGAGCAGAACGTTGGTATCTGGTAATTCGCTCCAGACACAGATCCACCTGGAACGACCCGTACAACCGGGAGATAACTCCGAATATCCCCGGGTCGAGCCTCCACTCGTGAGGAGCGAGGATCCGGCGAGACAGAGCGTCCGCGCGGACATTGTCTACCCCCGGGAGATACACAGGTACCACCCTGATGTCGTGGGTATCGCACCACAGGAGGAACTGCCACGTCTCTTGGAGGAGTGACGTAGACACTGTTCCCCCCTGCTTCCTGATGTAAGTCATCGCCGTTTGGTTGTCCATCTCTAGACCAACCACATGGCTCCGAAGCATATCCTGACCGCTCTCAGTTCGAGCACATTGATGTGCAGTGAGATCTCTTGCTGGGACCATAGTCCCGATGCTGCGTGATCGTTCAGAACGCCTCCCCAGCCGGAGAGTGATGCGTCTGTTTGAACTGTGAGAGACGGAAGGGGAGTGTCGAGGGGGAGCCCCCGGGACAGATTCCCGTCCTCGGTCCACAACTGAAGGTTTGTAATGAGCCATGTCGGGGTCTCGAGTATCGTCTCGAGGTCCTCCAAATTCGCCCATAGCTGGCGCAACGCTTGTTGAATGGGTCGCATTCTTAAGCGCGCTCGCCAAACCACATCTACTGTCGCCGCCATGTTGCCTAGCAACTGGAGCCAAGTACGAGCAGTGTGCCTGTTGGAGGTAAGGAACTGTAAGGTTACGCTCCTGACCTTGGCAATGCGGTCTTGAGTTAGGGAGACAATCCCTCTCTCTGTGTTGAAATTCGCCACCAAGAAAGTCAGATTCTGAGCTGGGGTCAGATCCGACTTCTTTAAATTGACTATCCACCCGAGCGTAATTAGAATGTCTAACACCTCTTGTGTAGCCATCTGGCTCATGTGGTGAGATAGTGCACGTAGTAACCAGTCGTCGAGGTACGGGTGACATAACCGCCCTTTCGATCTGGCCACTTGGGCAGTAATCAAAATCAGCTTGGTGAACACCCTCGGGGCCGTAGCGATCCTGAAGGGTAGAACCCGGAACTGATAACACCCCCCGTCGAAAGAAAACCTTAGGTATTTCTTGAATTCGGGGTGTATGGGTACGTGGAGGTAGGCGTCTTTGAGGTCTATTGACGTCAGTCATTCCCCTGTCTCTACAGCGGAGATCACTGCGCGCAGTGTCTCCATCTTGAAGGACGGTACCTCTATTAATTTGTTCAGCCTTCTCAAGTTGAGAATGGGTCTGAACCCTCCGCTTTTTTTGGTGACAAGGAAATAGGTCGAGTAATAACCCTCGTTTTCCTGTCCCAAGGGTACTGGTTCTATAGCCGCCTTCTGTAGAAGCGCTACGACCTCGGCCCTTAGTATTTCTGCCTTCTCTCGGGTAGCGGGCACTGGGGTGTGCCTTATCCTGGAGAAGGGTGGCGGAGGCAGTCTCCATTGAGGCAAGTGGCCTTCCCTGAGTGTGGACAGGACCCAGGGGTTGGATGTTACCTTCTCCCATTCCGACAGGAATAGAGTAAGGCGGCCGCCTACGGGGAATCCCGACAGTAGACAGTTCTGCGACTGGTCTTTGTGGGTTCACCCGGGGCGTCCCGAGGGTTACTGGGAACCCTGTGGGTTCCCTGCACCTCCAAAAGGCTGCTGGGATTTACCCGCGTATCGGCCCCTGCCTTTGCCTTTCTTGCCCCTCCCCGAACCCCTGCCTGATGGAAGCGGCTGCTTCCAGGAAGGCTTGGGTTGCCGAGCCGGCGTCTCGACATGGGAGAAGTCAAGTGGGGATGACCGTTTGCGGGGCTTACTAGGCACTTCCAATAAGGCTTTTGAATCCTTGATGGAGGCGTAGAGCTCCGCGGCCTCCCGAACTACCTGCTGCGCCCCCGGGAAAAGGGTAGAACCCATCTGAAAGGGGAGCGCCAGTAGCTCTTGGCGTGTGGATGCTGAATACTTAGACACAGACATCCATAGCCTGCGCATGCCCATGATTGCGCACATCATTTGGGAGGCACAACTACGTATAGCGTCCCTCGCCAAATGACTATGGACCTCAGTGAGTTGCCTGGCTAACTCCGATGAGTCGCTCTGGCCCTCCCCTATCAGCTCCCTCTGCACCGCAGACAGGTACGCTGAGTGGACCGTAATCCGAAGCTGTTGGCCGGCATTACGAAACTGCTCCTCGAAGCAGACGTAAGCCGCCTTCAGCTCGGTGCCACAGATTGGGAAGGGAGGCAATTGCCGGCCCTGCTTGGCCTTAGCCAAAGAGGGGGTCGAAGACCCCCCCAGGGTCACCGAGGTCCAGACGCATTCGTCGACCGAAGGCACCTCGAAATCCCGGTCCTCTGCCATAGGGTACCATTTACTAAGTTCGGGTAGGTCGAACTTTTTTCGGTTACCCGATAACAGAGGATCGATGACCTCGTGCGCCAACGATGACAGAATACGGAGTCGCACCTGGGGCGGCTTGCAAGGAGCAAACGCGTCCCCCGGAAGGCGGAACTCAGACGAGTCGGACTCGGGAGCGGGGGCAGCCACCTGCCGCAGTACTTGGGACTATTTTGTCCCGTACGTGTCGCAGAGAGGAAGCGAAGGAAAAACCTGCAGGGGTCTCCGAGCCTTCCTCTCCCTCCTCCATCGACTCTTCATCCCTAGTCTCCGAGCCGAAGGTTAACTCCGACTCCTCAACCAGGGAGGAAGTAGATGGTATCGGGAGCGGACACTGGAAGGCCTGCGACCTCTGATCCCCCGGCTGGAAGCCGAATCCCGGTCCCGAGGTGCTGGGGGTTCGGAAGAACCCACCTGACCACTGGGCGTGGAACCACAGGTCGAAGCTTCGGCCTCCGAGAAGGCTTCCGGCTCCGCCTGGGAAACAGGCACGGAGGAAGTGAACGGGCCGGCGCCCGCCACCCCTCCGCTGGAGAGCGATCTCGATCCCAAACCTAAGCCCGGTCTCGATGGTCCCCGAGGCCAAGCGGCCTGCCACGGCCGACGCCGGGCATTCCACAAGGCACCGAGGCCGCTTCCGACACCCGATATTCGGGAAGCCCCGCCCGTAACTCCTCGCGGAGCTGGGACTTGACCTCCTCGAACATGGATGTCATCTGCGACCTCAAGATGGCAGAAATATCCGCCAGATTAACAGAAGGTGCAGGTGTAGGTAAGTGTTGTACGGCAACCCTACTAGACTGATCCCCAGACTTCCTAGGCTCCTTATTGCTGGAGCCCGAGGAAGAAGACGCTGGACCTTTACGCTTATTTCCCCTACCCTTACCCCCTTTACTTTTGGAAGGGGGGGGGACTGACTTATCCCTAATGTCTGCCCCCGCCTCAAGAAGTCTCTTGTAGTGCAAAAGATCAGCATGGCTCTTGGACGCCTTGGGCGTGAAGCTGAGACAGACGGGGCAAGTTTGGTCATCGTGACCTAGTTCCGCTAGGCAGCGAATACACTTGTCATGATTGTCCTGAGTGGGGATATTGGCCTCACAACCGGAACACAATTTGAAGGCCTGTAAGAGACCGTAATTTATTTGAGCCGGTGTGCATGTATGTTTTATGTATAAGTGCAAGAGATATAACAGAAACAAACATTAAGGTGCCGTGCAAAGGCGTAATGTAATATACGATATAATATATATACATTATAAAGGAGCTAGTATTTAAAAAAACAAGCTTCTGACGTCCGATATACGGAGAAAGCCTGAGTTAATTTATTGAGACATTAAGGGTCTCCTATTAATTAAAACTTCAGGTTAAAATAGGAAATACGTAGTTTACATTGCAATGATAATGAACCATGTCGTTTTTATAAATGATCATGAGTTAGAGTATCAAAAAAACAATGATGACTACCAAGCGGCGGCCATTACTTGAATGGACGTGCCACGTACGCATGGACGTCGAATTTACAACATCAAACTTAAAGGAAATGCGAAGTGTTACGCCTTTGCAAAAGAAAAGGGAATTTACCACACATACAGTTTGTTCAGCCATGTCTTCAACTTCGATCGATTTGTTGACAGAAGAAAGAAAAAATTCCTGAGCTCTCATGTACGTCTTGATTGACGGATGACATGTGGAAAGTGAATTGGGTGTGAGTTGCTTCCCTTGGCGTTTGGCGCCAAAGAAGGGAGAGGCCCTGTTTGGGTGGTCGTACATCATACACAAAAAAATGTTGTTTTTTAGTGTGGTAATATTTTATTAGGAACAAAATAGTTACAACATGTCATGTAGATTTTCTGTAGCCTGGAAAATGCAATAAGTGCCCCAAGGAGGATTTAATCAGAAAGAGAATGATAAATAGAATTCATCACTCATGTTTTTTAATATGGGAAATATCAACCTCGTCTCGTTAATCAGTATTTATATACATGTATATGAATATCAATGAATACCAACTAACTAAGTCTCGGTGGATATTTCCCATTAAAAAAACACTTGTGATGAATCCTCTTTATGTGACCAAAATTAAGAGTACTAGTTGTTAGCACCTGTTTGTGAGTGGTATGTTTGTATGTGATGGCAGTGGTACCTGTATAATCTTGGTGATGATACCAGTGATGGTGTGAGTCTTGCCTGTGCCTGGTGGTCCCTGCAGCAGACAGATCCGCGGCATGTGTCTCGGCTCCTGCACCGCCCGGCACACTGCGCTGATTGCCTCCGCCTGCGACTGGTTGTAACATTTCTACAAACAGAATCATTACCAAATCCCCCAATTATTTCTTCATAATTGCTCACTATAGACATGATAGACTACATGATAGAATTAGGCATTTGCTAAAATGCTGACTTCTGATAATAACACTATTTCAAAGGTGGCCTAGTCTACACATACAATATTTTGTGATGAAGGCAATATGCAGAAGCCTGTGATTGTTCCTTGTCATCTTAAGAACGGTAAATTTTATATTTGTAATACTTATCCAATCTCACACTATAATTTTTCCTTCTTTCGATCCTTATGTGGAAACGTGCATTAACAAAGTTTTCAGTTAAAAACGTAACAACATGAGATCAGGAATAAAGTGATGTAGGACATTGTTACATGAACAACCACATAGCTGTGTATAGAGATCTTTTCAGCTTACAACTTAGAATCAATCTGGAAGGGGTCTCGAGCCAATCAGTTCTACTGATCAACAACATCCACAATAGCATCTTTAAAGCAGTACCGAAACATGTGCACAAGGCAGAGCTGGGCAGGTAAAGGTTGGGGACACGGTCGAAATGTCCAAGCCTTGTGGTGACTTCGATGTTGGAGACCGGAGTCGCTACAGACGAGGTCGATCACCCTCGATTGGGTACTCAGTCTGGGAACCCGGATAAACATGACCTTGGTGGAGGCCCTGAACATCAGTGATGGAGATGTCACATAGATAGTGGGAAGCCAAGTCCGTATCAGACTTCCAAACAACAACCATCCATGATGGCGGACTGGGTGCAATTGCTGTGCAAGGTAAGGTAGAGGTGACAGCTCTCCTCTCATGTGGACTGGATGTCGTACATGAAGACAATTCAGCGATGGTGTGGCCTGAAGTATAGTTGAATGGAGCCAAAATGAGACTTTGGTATTGGACACTTACATGGTGGTCCCTGTAGAAAGAGGGATGAAGAGCTGCTTGCAGGCACGCATAAGTGGCCAAGCAGTCTCGAGGTAGATGAGGAGCATTTGAATGGGCATAAGGTGATGTTTTCATGGTCATCTGGGTTGAGAATGGACACCAATGACTGGATGGACAAGAAAAAAAGTGAGCGTGGCTCACTAATACCCCCGACCCGCCTAGTGTGTCAGTAGTTTCAAATTAAATAGCGAGGATAGGGTTAGGGTTTGAAAAAATCATAAAAAAATGGAAAATTAATAAAAACAATTTTTTTCTTTTGACTGCACCCCTCCAAATGACACAGATTATATGTACTAAGTTTTTTGGACGGACGGAACCTTGGTATAACTATATACCCCTGACATTTTGTCGGGGGTTTAAAAACAAAAAGTCTGGCTGTCCCGGAAGCTGATTCTTCACGATGAAGGAACTGTTGAGACTGAGGGAGACGAACTGTCCTTCGACATGATCGTGTGGACATCCGTTATGATAGGTTGTTCTAGTGTAGATGTGGGCACAGACACACTGGGGACAGATGGCTTGTTCGTTTGGGGAGAAAAGTGCCAGAGACCACCTTCTCGACCAACAGGTAGGGGATGGTAGATGCAGGTGGTTTCACAGCTGTTACAGTGGAGGGGACAGCTGGCTTGGTGATGTGTTTGGGCTTCTTAGTAGAGGAAGGCCCATCCTCAGCATTGCGAGATTTAAACTGACGGTCAATGTTAAGTTTCTGACACTTGCGTAGGTATAGACGAAAGGCTTCCTCTGAGAAGTGGGAACATTGGGAACACTTGTTGTCTGGAAGGAAACGGCCACGATCATGTGGATCAGCTGTTTAGAAATTGTACAGACTGGGTGTGTATCGCATTCTGTTCCCATCCTCTTCTAATAATTTTGTAGCTATCAAGGAGGAGGAAGCTCATTCAAAAAACACCAAATAGGATTCTCTAAGATTCAATACACACCTCTACAGAGTGGCGATGAGAAAAGGAATGTTGTGGAAGGGGTAATCATGTGATCAGGTCGTGAAGGTCGCTATGCACAGGATTACAGTGTGTTACCTGTTTGTTTGGGTGGTGATGCTGGGATGGGTTCGGGTGATTTGTTTTTAGAAGATGGAAACTTTGTTCAAGCACGTTTCCATTTAGGATCGAAGAAATGCATAGTATGAGATAGGATATGTTTAAAAATTCAATGGTTTCCTACCAGCAGAGTTGGGTCAGGCTTATGTATATCTTGGTGGAAGACTCTCTGGCTGCTTGGGTGCAGGATGTCCCTAAGCAGTGGACTGCGGGGCAGGTACGTGAGTCCCTGGAACTGCCGTCGACTGCTGACCAGTGAACACAGAGGCTGCAACAACAACGACAACATGACAAAATGTCACCAACAGCACTCTACCCACAACAAAATGACACAACATCACCCACAGCACAGTCACCACATGACACCCACAGCACAGTCACCACATGACTCCCACAGCACACTCACCACATGACACGACACCATAGCACACACACACTACATGACACCATAACACCAACAGCACACTCACCACGACACCATAGCACACACACTACATGACACCATAACACCAACAGCACTCACCACGACACCATAGCACACTCACATGACACCCATAGCACACTCACCACATGACACCCATAGCACACTTACCACATGACACCCCCAGCACACTCACCACATGACACCCATAGCACACTCAACACATGACACCCATAGAACATTCACCACATGACACCCATAGAACATTCACCACATGACACCCATAGAACATTCACCACATGACACCCATAGCACACTCAACACATGACACCCATAGCACACTTACCACATGACACCCCCAGCACACTCACCACATGACACCCATAGCACACTTACCACATGACACCCATAGCACGCTCAACACATGACACCCATAGCACACTCAACACATGACACCCATAGCACACCTGCCACATGAAACCCATAGCACACTCTGCTAATGACACCCATAGCACACTTACCACATGACACCCATAGCACACTTACCACATGACACCCCCAGCACACTCAACACATGACACCCATAGCACACTCAACACATGACACCCATAGCACACCTGCCACATGAAACCCACAGCACACTCTGCTAATGACACCCATAGCACACTTACCACATGACACCCATAGCACACTTACCACATGACACCCATAGCACACTTACCACATGACACCCATAGCACACTTACCACATGACACCCCCACCACATGACACCCATAGAACACTTACCACATGACACCCATAGCACACTTACCACATGACACCCATAGCACACTTACCACATGACACCCCCACCACATGACACCCATAGAACACTTACCACATGACACCCATAGCACACTTACCACATGACACCCATAGCACACTCACCACATGACACCCCCACCACATGACACCCATAGAACATTCACCACATGACACCCATAGCACACTCACCACATGACACCCATAGCACACTCACCACATGACACTAATAGCACACTCACTACATGAAACCCACAGCAAACTCACCACATGACACCCATAGCACACCCACTACATGAAACCCACAGCAAACTCACCACATGACACCCATAGCACACTCACCACATGACACCCATAGCACACTCACCACATGACACCCATAGCACACTCACCACATGACACCCATAGCACACTCACTACATGACACAATGACACCCATAGCACACTCACCACATGACACCCATAGCACACTCACCACATGACACCCATAGCACACTCACTACATGACACAATGACACCCATAGCACACTTACCACATGACACCATAGCACACTCACCACATGACACCCATAGCACACTCACCACATGACACCCATAGCACACTTACCACATGACACCCATAGCACACTTACCACATGACACCCATAGCACACTTACCACATGACACCCCCACCACATGACACCCATAGAACACTTACCACATGACACCCATAGCACACTCACCACATGACACCCCCACCACATGACACCCATAGAACATTCACCACATGACACCCATAGCACACTCACCACATGACACCCACAACACACTCAACACATGACACTAATAGCACACTCACTACATGACACAATGACACCCATAGCACACCCACTACATGAAACCCACAGCAAACTCACCACATGACACCCCCAGCACACTCACCACATGACACCCATAGCACACTCACCACATGACACCCATAGCACACTCACCACATGACACCCATAGCACACTCACTACATGACACAATGACACCCATAGCACACTTACCACATGACACCCATAGCACACTCACCACATGACACCCATAGCACACTCACCACATGACACCCATAGCACACTTACCACATGACACCCATAGCACACTTACCACATGACACCCATAGAACATTCACCACATGACACCCATAGCACACTTACCACATGACACCCATAGCACACTCACCACATGACACCCATAGCACACTCACTACATGACACAATGACACCCATAGCACACGCACCACATGACACCCATAGCACACTCACCACATGACACCCATAGCACACTCACCACATGACACCCATAGCACACGCACCACATGACACTCATAGCACACTCACCACATGACACCCATAGAACATTCACCACATGACACTGATAATACACTCACAACATGACACCCATAGCACACTCACCACATGACACCCATAGCACACTCACTACATGACACAATGACACCCATAGCACACTCACCACATGACACAATGACACCCATAGCACACTCACTACATGACACAATGACACCCATAGCACACTCACTACATGACACAATGACACCCATAGCACACTCACCACATGACACTCATAGCACACTCAACACATGACACCCATAGAACATTCACCACATGACACCCATAGAACACTCACCACATGACACCCATAGCACACTCACCACATGACACCCATAGCACACTTACCACATGAAACCCATAGCACACTTACCACATGACACCCATAGCACACTTACCACATGACACCCATAGCACACTCACTACATGACACAATGACACCCATAGCACACGCACCACATGACACCCATAGCACACTCACCACATGACACCCATAGCACACTCACCACATGACACCCATAGCACACGCACCACATGACACTCATAGCACACTCACCACACATGACACCCATAGAACATTCACTGATAATACACTCACATCATGACACCCATAGCACACTCACCACATGACACCCATAGAACATTCACCACGACACCCATAGAACACTCACAACATGACACCCATAGCACACTCAACACATGACACCCATAGCACACTCACTACATGACACAATGACACCCATAGCACACGCACCACATGACACCGATAGCACACTCAACACATGACACCCATAGCACACTTACTACATGACACAATGACACCCACAGTACTGACCACATGACACAATGACACCCACAGCACTCACCACATGACACCCACAGCACTCACCACATGACACCCATAGCACTCGCCACATGACACCATGCCACACACAGCACTACATTGACACCATGCCACAGACAGCACTACGTAACACCATGTCACACACAGCGTACTCACCAACATCACATAATAACAAATCTAGTAAAATCCTACATATTTTTCATATTTGTATACTTATCCTGCATTACTCCTTAATGCATATCGCTGCTTGTTCTTGACAGAGAAAAGAGCTGTGTGAAGGTCTTTGTTTGAAGAAGTTGCTCCAACTAGCTGAGAGGCCAGCCCATCACACAGCTCCCACGTGACCAAAGGAATTGACGTCACGGATCCTCACATTATTCTGGAGTTTTCCACTCTGTGGGAGCCACTTTGCCTGGCTGAGACAGGGCATCCGCCAGATGATCCACCAGGTGAAACAATCGGAACGTATGTTTAACAGTTTAACAGTTTAACAGTTTATTCTCCAAACCACCGGCGGTGGTACAAAAGAACAAGCATGTAAACAAAGTATTAATATGTGGCAAGATGAGAGTATGTCATGCATGAATATGTTATATGAAGGAGCGAAGTCGAATGAGTCATTCCCTGGTTCCAAAGGCACCATACGACAGTGATGTCGTCTGTCGAGATGGAGAGCCGGGCGTGTCTGAGGGCCTGCTTCCAGTGAGCGATGGCCAAGATAATTGCAGAGGGGATACAGAGGGGTCCTGGCGCCTGATGTAGGGCGCCAGGAACATCTGAACTGGGCGCAGTTGGAGCCTTCCTCTGTAGGTCAAGTCCTGCGCTGAGGTTAGGAGGCCCAGGATGACTTGCCATTGGCGCAGAGTATGTGGTAGGTGGAGAGCTGAAGTCAGGTGCGCCTGCATGTGCTCCCACCATTCTCTGGGTACAGAGATGAGATCGAGGTCCGTGTGGAAGAGCCCCCCGATGAACTGAAGGCGCTTGGAAGGTGTCAACTCTGATTTCCTGAGGTTGATCTTCCATCCCAGATGGTGTAGGAGCCAGAGGGTGAAGTCCCTGTGGTGGAGTAGAGTGACAGGGTCCCGATGGTTCAGTAGGCAGTTGTCTATGTACGCCTCGAAGTGGATGTCCCGGCGATGGAGGTACAAGGCTATCGGCTTGATAAGCCATGTGAATAGCCACGGGGCCAAAGAAATTCCAAATGGGAGGACCACCCATTGATAATGGACTCCCATGAAGATGAAGCAGAGGAATTTCTGGTCGTCGGGATGTATAGGAACATGTAGGTAGGCGTCCTCTATATCCAAGCTGATGAGCACCTCCTGTGCCTGGATCCGGGATTGCAGTAGCCTGAGCGTGGTCATCCTGAAATAAGGTGGACGCGCCAGGTAGCGTTTGTTGAAAGCGGCGAGGTTGTGGATCATCCTGTGTTTGTCTTTCTTGGGGACCAGGAAGACAAGTGAGTAGAATCCCAGTGTTATGGCGTGTACAACCTCTATGGCTTTCTTGTCTAGCAGCGGCGTGATGTTCCGGCTCATTATCTGCTGTTGGGTGGGGGGGGTATGTGTCCACTATGGGTGATGACGTAAGTGGCGGGTTGTCTATAAGCTATCACTTGAGGTCCCTGCGGTTGGCGTTACCTCCCTTGGGGAAGCCGCAACGGGACTGGTATGCGCCCGAGGACTTTCTTTTCCCCTTGCCTCTGGCCCAAGAGGTTGAGGTGGAGCCCTGCCTCCGAGTCTGGAGAGTGTTTCGTCGTGGCTGTTAGGAGCCAAACTGGGATGCGTTAGCAAGGCTGGCTGCGACACCCTGGCCAGGGCCTTGAGAGC